GTAGAATTCAATTTTAAACACCTTACCAAGCACAGCTATCAGATCATGCTGAATGTTAGAGAACTTCTAAGTCATTTGAATCTAAGTGAGAAAGACTCAAAAAATGGCTGCTCTTCTTATCCCCAACTAACACAGTGAGTGGTTTTTGAGTTCTAAAGTCATTCTCAAGCATGTTTGCCTTTATGAATTGAAGTTGTGAATATTACTCATAGTAAAATATGACTTGTACAGCAACAGAGACTATAGAAATGAACAAGGAAAATGTTAATTATGATTGATGACCCTGACCATATTCTGATTACTATTTGCAGTTTTCTCATTTGAGTTACAATTTACTGCCTATTAGTTCATATCAGTGTCTGGTTATAAAAGTGTATGTAACGTTTACAATGAGAGACCTAGATGATTACAGTCATATAAATGTGTGAATAATTGAGAGGTTATGCTGCAGTACACGCCTCATCAAGTTCCTTTTCAGGTCTTAAGAACACATTTAAAGCTCAACACTAAATCTCAATTATACTGGAATTACCAGCAAGAAGGAAAAATAGCTACATTATCAAAGCTGTCAAAAACACCCTCTGCTTTAAATTTACTTGGACAACTGGACAATGGAAATAGTTCACTTATTTAAGGGGTGACTTCATCTGGTGAAGATTCCATTGCACTTAAGAGACAAGAGAAAAAGAGTCTTGAAATTTATAGAGTTTCTTTCTTGGTGTATAAGAAGATAGATAAAAAGTCAATTCTGATAAAATGGATTATAAAGTTTGACTGAGTTGCTAAATTCATATTGCAGATTTGGTACAATCTGTAGATACTGAGAGAAGTGTAATGTTCATATATGTGTAATACAAGATCATATTTCTAAATTATTTAATTCTAAATTAATTATAAAAAACCCAGCAATAAAATAATTTGGTGTAATGCATCCTACCCAAAGAGTACAATTAAGCACCTGCCAACAATCTCCTTAATGAACATTGATGCAAAAATCCTCAACAAAATAATGGCAAATCGAATTCAGCAACACATCAAAAAGATTATTCACCACGACCAGGTAGGCTTCATCCCAGGGATGCAGGGGTGGTTCAACATACGAAAATCAATAAACGTAATAAACCACATTAACAGAAGCAAAGACAAAAACCACTTGATCATCTCAATAGATGCAGAAAAAGCCTTTGATAAGATCCAACATCATTTCATGATAAAAGCTCTAAGAAAACTAGGAATAGAAGGAAAGTTCCTCAACATTATAAAAGCTATATATGACAAACCTACAGCCAGCATTATACTTAACGGAGAAAAATTAAAACCATTCCCTCTAAAATCAGGAACCAGACAAGGATGCCCACTATCTCCACTCCTATTCAACATAGTACTGGAATTCCTAGCCAGAGCAATTAGGCAAGAAGAAGGAATAAAAGGAATACAAATAGGTAAAGAAACTGTCAAAATATCCCTATTTGCAGACGACATGATCCTATACCTTAAAGACCCAAAAAACTCTACTCAGAAGCTTCTAGACATCATCAATAGCTATAGCAAGGTAGCAGGATATAAAATCAACATAGAAAAATCATTAGCATTTCTATACACTAACAATGAGCAAACGAAAAAGAATGTATGAAAACAATTCCATTTACAATAGCCTCAAAAAAAATCAAATACCTAGGTGTAAACCTAACAAAAGATGTGAAAGACCTCTACAAGGAAAACTATACACTTCTGAAGAAAGATTGAGGAAGACTATAGAAAGTGGAGAGATCTCCCATGCTCATGGATTGGTAGAATCAACATAGTAAAAATGTCGATACTCCCAAAGTAATCTACATGTTTAATGCAATTCCATCAAAATTCCAATGACATTCATTAAAGAGATTGAAAAATCTACTGTTAAATTTATATGGAACACAAGAAGGCCACGAATAGCCAAGGCAATACTCAGTCAAAAGAACAATGCAGGAGGTATCACAATACCTGACTTCAAACTATATTACAAAGCAATAACAATAAAAACAGCATGGTACTGGCACAAAAACAGACATGAAGACCAGTGGAACAGAATAGAGGATCCAGATATGAAGCCACACAACTATAAGCAACTTATCTTTGACAAAGGAGCTAAAAATATACGATGGAGAAATAGCAGCCTCTTCAACAAAAACTGCTGGGAAAACTGGTTAGCAGTCTGCAAAAAACTGAAACTAGATCCATGTATATCACCCTATACCAAGATTAACTCAAAATGGATCAAGGATCTTAATATCAGACCCAAACTCTTAAGTTGATACAGAAAGAGTAGGAAATACTCTGGAGTTAGTAGGTATAGGTAAGAACTTTCTCAATGAAACCCAGCAGCACAGCAACTAAGAGATAGCATAGATAAATGGGACCTCATAAAACTAAAAAGCTTCTGTTCATCAAAAGAAATGGTCTCTAAACTGAAGAGAACACCCACAGAGTGGGAGAAAATATTTGCCAACTATACATCAGACAAAGGACTGATAACCAGAATATACAGGGAACTTAAAAAACTAAATTCTCCCAAAACTAATGAACCAATAAAGAAATGGGCAAGTGAACTAAACAGAACTTTCTCAAAAGAAGAAATTCAAATGGCCAGAAAACACATGAAAAAATGCTCACCATCTCTAGCAATAAAGGAAATGCAAATTAAAACCACACTAAGATTCCACCTCACCCCTGTTAGAATAGCCATCATCAGCAACACCACCAACAACAGGTGTGGCGAGGATGTGGGGAAAAAGGAACCCTCTTACACTGTTGGTGGAATGTAGACTAGTACAACCACTCTGGAAAAAAATTTGGAGGCTACTTAAAAAGCTGGACATCGATCTACCATTTGATCCAGCAATACCACTCTTGGGATATACCCAAAAGACTGTTACTCCAGAGGCACCTGCACACCATGTTTATTGCGGCACTATTCACAATAGCCAAGTTATGGAAACAGCCAAGATGCCCCACACTGACGAATGGATTAAGAAAATGTGGTATCTATACACAATGGAATTTTATGCAGCCATGAAGAAGAACGAAATGTTATCATTCGCTGGTAAATGGATGGAATTGGAGAACATCATTCTGAGTGAGGTTAGCCTGGCCAAAAGACCAAAAATCGTATGTTCTCCCATATGTGGACATTAGATCAAGGGCAAACACAACAAGGGGATTGGACTATGAGCACATGATAAAAGCGAGAGCACACAAGGGAGGGGTGAGGATAGGTAAGACACCTAAAAAACTAGCTAGCATTTGTTGCCCTTAACGCAGAGAAACTAAAGCAGATACCTTAAAGCAACTGAGGCCAATAGGAAAAGGGGACCAGGAACTAGAGAAAAGGTTAGATCAAAAAGAATTAACCTAGAAGGTAACACCCACACACAGGAAATCAATGTGAGTCAATGCCCTGTATAGCTATCCTTATCTCAACCAGCAAAACCCCTTGTTCCTTCCTATTATTGCTTATACTCTCTCTACAACAAAATTAGAGATAAGGGCAAAATAGTTTCTGCTGGGTATTGAGGGGGGGAGGGGAGGGGTGGAGTGGGTGGTAAGGGAGGGGGTGGGGCAGGGGGGAGAAATGAACCAAGCCTTGTATGCACATATGAATAATAAAAGAAAAATAAAAAAAAAAAAAAAAAAAAAAAAAAGCTCATCTGTGATGAGTTATGATGGTTTTGGCTTCATCCCATGATTTCTGCTGCTGACAACATGAAAGACAGCCATCACCAACTTCACCCCTTTTCCAGCTCTGGTGCCCCCCAGAAGACACTCTCACACTCACAGATGCAGTACCCTTCAGGTTGACTCAGTGTAACACTGCTTATGAGTTTTTCTTTTTTTAGATAGGAATAATATAATATTTAGGAGATGCTTTAGAAGAAGCTGTTAAATAAAAGTCAGATATTATATATGCATTCAGGTGATTAGAACTGTATTTACAGACATGTTTGTCAAAAATAAAATCTGGAATCTCAGTACTACCAGTATTTCTGGCAGGGCAAGAACACATTTAGTGCCCTATTAAATCAAAGGATGTCTGCTGCAAACAGAGGCACTGTACCAGCTAGTGCTAACACAGACTGATGCCCATGTTCGATCATACTGAGTCCCACACTGAGCTCCCTGAAATTTATAATACAGAATGGAAATGGTGTATACATTGCAACGTCCCACCCCCTTAAGGCAATAGCTCACCAGGTAGAAATATAAGTCACTGAGCATTTTTAAAACCCATACTTAAAGCATTTTCTGGGGCTAAAGACTCACTTAAACAGAATATATATAAAATGGAACTTGTTAAATATCATGTAAGACACTTGACAGAAGTTATTTTTTATTATCAGCTGAGACCATGGGAATCAGAAGAAGGGATGCATGCCTTTTTGTGTGAAGTAGGGCAAAAGAAATTACCACAGAAATAAAATTAAAAGCAGACAATATAATCCAAGTCAAAATTCAAAGTTGGATAAAAATTTTCTATTCCCCACACTTTATTTTTCAAAATAAAATTGGGGAATATATTTGGATTCACTGAAATCTGTCATCCAATGACAAACTATGCCTCTTTATTGGCTCAGTACTGATATGTTTATGGATGCATATTATCAAGAGAAATATTTATTTTTCAAGCCAAAAGATTGGAAGTAAAATTAAATTCGGTCAATAATTAGCCATGTCAATCATGTAATTCAGATCATTTCACTTTCATCCCCCAAAGAGCTCCTCTTACACCCAGCTCAGAACTAAGATAGTTTACAAACCACTCTCCTGTTTTGCAAATTGTGACATCTTGTGTTAAAACTAAGGTATTTATATAATTCTATCTAGTTTAAAAGTAGCACATTTTGAGGCCAGCTGAGGCACAAAGTTAGCAAGATCCTGGCTCAGAAAAAAAAAAAAAAAAAACCACAACAAAAAGCCAGGCAGCCTAGTAGTGGTGCACTCCTGTGGTCCCAGCAACTCAGGGAATGAGACGGGAGGGTTGCAATACAAGGCTAGTTAGCACAAGACCCTGTCTAAAAACAAAGCTGAACGCAAAAGGGCTGAGAGCACGCCTCAAGTGGGAGAGCACCTACCGAGTATGAATGAGGCTCTGCTTCAACCCTCTACAGGTAGGACAGATTTTTAGATAGATAGATGGATAGATAGTAGATAGACAGACAGATAGACAGACAGACAGACAGATAGATAGAAAGAAAGTGGCCTAAAGAACGTGAGCCATTAGTTGACTTTGATTTTGTGCATGTACAAGAGACAGGGTTAACAAGTCCATAAAGAAAGTCCTTGTCACTTAGTGCTCTAACTGTTGACTGAGGACATCATGCTATTTGGTAATCTTTTCACAGGCTGATCATCATGTCTTTTAGGGTGTGTATCTTCAGTAATACCTAATCCAGAAGGTTTTTTCATTATTTATATAAAAAATCCTATTTCTTTATGCAAACTAATAATCCCCCTTTATGACCCTAAAAGGGGGATTAGAAAAAAAGCAGCCAGTAGCCCTGAGCACACCCTTGTTCACCTGGTGTGCTGACCACAAGAGGTGGCATGAGTCACTCCTGGTTTCACTTTCTACATGTGCTTGGCACATCACAGCCTCCCACAGCCTCCTGCTCCTTGTCCTCCAAAATGGGGAGAAAGGCCCCAACACCTCAAGGCTGTTGGCAGTCTAATGAAAAGCTGTGCATAAATGTCTACCTACATGCTTGATCAACACTAGTCTTCTCCTCTTGCAGGATACGAGCTTCTTTGAATCACTACAGAAAAAATGAAAGTAAGAAAATGTTTCACCCAGAAGCAAGGTACGTACACACACACACACACACACACACACACACTCTCTCTCTCTCTCTCTCTCTCTCTCTCTCTCTCTCTCTCTCTCTCTCAGGGATCTCTGCCTCTTTTCTCACCCTTCCTTCTTCCTGCTCGCCTCAGAAAACCTGTACCCACTTCTCTGTGTGTTTTAAAAGTCCCTTTGCAGGCTCCTTGTTCACACCTGTGCCGTCAAGTGCCTTTCTCTGCAGGCTTCCTGCAGAAGCAGTGGAACCAGAATCAGTCCCTACCTTTTCTAAAGAGCACAGAAGTGAATTAGTGAAAAACAATGCTAAGCAGAGTAAGGATGAGTGCCACTGTATGGAGCCCCATGCATGGGTTAAGTGCCCCCACGTGCCAGGCACTGGCCCTCCTATGTGGAGAACAGAAGATTGAGTCCAGAGAGGAAATAGGGTTTGTAAACTCCAGTGTAGATAGGGACCAATGAGATGAATGCTGTGAGTGAAGCAGAGTGTCCTCTCCCATAAGAGGTCTTCTGTTATTTCTCACAGTCCACAGAAAATATAAAAAACAAGGACCCAATACATACTTGCTGAGTAAGTGAATTCCATTTTATTGGAAAGGCAAGTTTCTTGAAGTCAAGACCCAGCTGAAAAAAAGAACTTAATAAATGTCTGAATGAATGAATAAACAAAGAGGTGAGTGACAAACCAAACTCACATCTAATATTCTGCAGGCATATGGACCAATATGAAAGCAACTGCTTTACTGTTTAGAAACCAGAAACACGGCTCAAGTAACTTATTCAAGAATGCACAATAAATGGAAAGTAATAGAGTTACAAGTTACAACTCCAACCGAGCCCCAGACTTCATTTTGCTGTGTTCCTTCATGTTCCTACGTCTGACAAGTCAGAGCTCATCTGTCTTCCCTTGCTTGGCTGAAATACTTTCACCAACAAAGTTTCAAGTTAATAAACTCTGGGTTTATTTTGAGAGGATATTTCACAGAAGTCTCAGGTGCATTTACCTTGCTTGTATGATATGTAAAAAATAAGCAGACAGGAGAGAGATTACCATCTATACTTTCAAATGGACCCAGAAGCAGCCTTGCAGCCAATGGAGGGACAGACAGCATGAGCTGTCAGTGCGTTAGCCCTCAGTGCTGCTCACCAACCAGCCAGAAGCAGCTTTCAGACGGTCACATTAGGCACACATGCACTGACACACAAGAGTCATCCCACTGTGGGACTTATTTACAAGAACAAAAACCATGGGGCAAACAACAGACCTGGAATGGACCAGAACAGCAAGTCATCGTGCAGTTGCATTTGCAAAGTGTTACTCCAGCCTTGCTCACACACAGGCACACTCTGCCATGCACTCAGCCATACCATCTCACTCTCCTTTGGCTGCCATCTTGGAGGGGTGGACAGGTGTTGCATTTGTTGAAACTGGCAGAATCTTTCCTACTGTCATACAGGTGGAAAGGAGACCATCACAGCAGTCAGGAACTGGGCATGAAGGAGAGACTATCAGGTGCAAGTTTTGCTTTTGTGACTCACTAGCCATGTCCCTACAGACATCACTAACCCTCCCTAAGCCTCAGTTATCCAGCTCTACAAAATCTGCTTACTACTTAAATGACTGCAGAAGATACTGCAGAGAAGACTACATACACTAGTGCCTGCACACGAGAGCTTAATACATACTAGCTATTATTATATTACTACCTAATATACTATTCTTAACTTTAAAAATAATCACTGCCCCAAAATAACTAATACATTGTCCTCATCCCAAATTTAGTTTAGTAATTTCCAACTAAGCCTTTGCTTCAAAGTAGAAACAACTCCACAGGCAGATGTTAAGAGTCAGTTTTTCTAGGTACAGCTAGTAAGATCATTAAAAGACTTTCCCTTTGATTTTATTTCTGATTAAAAGAATATAAAATTTGGGAGCTCAGTGGCTCATACCTGTAATCTCAGCTACTCAGGAGGCAGAGATCAGAGGACTGAAGTTGGAGGCCAGTTCAGAAAGAGAGTGAGTGAGAACACCATCTCAATCAATAAGCAGGGCATGGTAGCTTGCACCTACGAGCCCAGCGACATGGGTGGCCATAGCAGGAGGATCACAGGGTGAGGCTGGCCCTGAACAAAAATGCTAGACCATTTCTGAAAAATAACTAAATGCAAAAGAGGTTTAGGGGTGTGGCTCAAGTAGTAGAGTGCCTGCCTAGCAACTGCCAGACCCTGAGTTCAAACCACAGTACCACAATGAATAAGTGCATATGATTGTAAATAAACAAGCTCAATTAAAGACTTTCCCTTTGATTCTGCTTCTGATTAAAACAATGTATAACATGCAGACTGGGCTCTGTGGCTCATACCAGTAATCCCAGCTACTTGGGAAGCAGATTGGTAGGATCAAGGTTTGAGAACAGCCTGTACAAAAAAAGTTATCAAGTTCACATCCTAACCAATAAGCTGGGTATGGTGGTACATGCCTATAATCCCAGAAATACAGGAGACATAGGTTGAAGAATCATTGTCTGAGGCTGGCCTTGAGCAAAAATGAGACCCCATGAAAAAGTAACTAAATCTAGAAGAGACAGAGTGCCTGCCTTGTAAGGCCCTGCCTAATAAGTGTAAGTACCACCAAAAATAAATAAATTACAATTTGCTATTGTAGAGTGCTACAGAAATATCAGATATATGACTGTATAGTATTTAAATAAAATCAGCAACAGGAGTGAGAATGTAAAAAATACAAACAGGCATATATTATAGGTTCAACCACATATTTTTCTAACAAATTACAATCTAATAAAAAATAATTGTTTAATCTATTTCCTTATATTGCCTCATTGTCTGAAAAATAAAATAAAACAGCAAGTGCACTTGCAGTGTCTACTAATCACAGGAACTAGCCCAAGACAGACATCAGCCACACAGTGAGCACCACTGTACCACATGGGATTCACCTCCCAGGGAGCTTTGGCTTAGTGGGGTGGGGACAAAGCAGGGATCTGTGCTCTGCAAAAACTACCTAGCATTCTCTTTCTCTTTTTTTCTCTCTCTCCCCTCCCTCCCTTCTCCTTCCTTCCTTCCTCCCTCTCTCCCTTTCTTTCTTCTTTGTAGGGGTCCCACTATGTAGGGCAGGCTGACCTTGACCTCATGAGCCTCCTGTCTCTGCTCCCTCCCAAGTGCTGGATTATAGGTGTGCACCACCATGCTTAGCTAAAAAGCTCTTCTTTATCTTGTAATTTTTTCCTCCTTGAAGCAAGACCAGACTACTTGTAAATCAATAAAGAGAAGGGGCTCAGTTACTCCCCAGTCTTGAAAAAATAATAAAATAATTCCTCTGGCCTCCTCACCCCAATACCAAAGCTACAGTAGATGGGAAAAGTGGAAGGGAAGCCTGGTATTTATTCCATGAACTTGTGTGACTGCTTGTCCTTTAGATTAGCACTTCCCACCAGAACTCTGCAACTGCCCCTAAGCCACCACTAGCCACATAGGGCTGTGGACATCTCTGCCATGGCCTCTGTACACAGCCTAGCTCTAGTCAGAAATCAAGCCCTGCTCACAGCCTTCCCAACACCTGGCTCTCCCTGGTCCCCATTTCCCTGAGCATAGTCTATAGGGTATAGCAGGGAACATGGGAAAATGCCCCCGCCAACGGGGGACTACATTTTCATTTCTAATAGCTGGCCTCTTCAATCCCCCCAGACCCATTGGAGGTCTCAAAGCTGTGTCAATAACTCCAGGGTTTTTTTTTTTTTAATTATGGTATTTTGGTGCACCAAAGCAAATGATCGCTGTTTGAGAAAATAACACAGTTGAAAAGATTGAAGAAATGACAGGATAGAGAGGGGGCATGAGAGAAGTTAAGTGACCCCATGAACCTTTAGAAGTTGTGTATGAGGGAGGCAAAGTGCCCAACCAGGGTTGTAGAAGTCCACACAGAGAGTTGAGATTCAGCGTTGAGGCACAGGATTGAAGAATTCCCAGCAAGAACACCTGTAACAGTTCTAATTGGAGATGGGAACAGAAGAGATCAAAGCTCATGACTGGAAAAGGCATTTTCAAGTAGCTGTAACAAATGCTTTATCTACTTGGCAAAAGTTTCTAGGGAAAAAGAATTAGGCAATGACAAAATAAGAGTGACACTTTGATAAAAGTTATCAATGACCCAATCAGAACCCAGAAGAAAGCAGCCAGATGCGGTGGTTCACACCTGTAAGTCCAGCACTTACAGAGGCAGAGGCAGGAGAACGAGGAGTTTGAGGACAGCCTAGGCTACCTCGTGAGACCTGTCCAAAAAAAACAAACGAAAAAAACCAGGAAGCTTACCCAACTAGAAAATGAGGCACCATAAATAAGACATTACCTCTACATAACTAATAATCTCACAATCTTCCCACCACACCATGCAGACAGTGGCCTGGTCACCTCCCATCACAATCAGGACAGCTCAAATCCAGAACTGCTAGATTCAAACCAATGACCACTGGCCCTAAAACTATTAGAACTGGATGCCAGGGTAGAGAGCGTTGTTTGCCAAGAGGAAGAAAGAGGTTGTTCAGAGCTGCTGCGCTGGGATAATCACTATTAATTAAACCCAGAAATAAGATCATCCACCAGCAACCTTACCTAGTTCTGGGGGCAGAACGGTCAGGCGGTTCCCCTGAATGTGGAGCTCTTTAAGCTGGGTCAGCTCCCCAATTTCCTTAGGCAGCGAGATCAGGTCGTTATCCCTGAGGCTGAGCTAAATATAAGAAAACAAGGAATTGTCAAAACAATTTCTCATAAAGAGGTTCTCAACAGAGTCTTTCGTCCTCTTCCCTGCCCTCTCTTTCTCTAAGGCTCCAGCTTTTCAATTTATTTACAAGTGTCTCTGGCTAAACAAGAAACAGTACCAGGAGTAGCAGTTCATTCTTGCAAAACAAAACTTACCCCTGCTCAAAATTGACTTGACTCTACTCCTACAAGGGCTGCAGAAGTGAATTGATTTTCTAGGAATTTAGATAAATTACTTACTATCTGCAACTTTGTGAGCTTCCCAATATCTGAAGGCAGGATTTCAAAATCGTTGTCACTTAGATAGAGTGCACGCAGGGTGGCTGCAAATTAAACAGCAATATATAAACAGGGTGGCATGGAACCCAACCATTTGAGGTCTGATCAATACAAGGGAGTCAGCTTTGATTAATAACCCCAGCTTGGTGAAAAGCCTGTGACATACCTAGGGCTCGCTATAATAACAAGCAGGTCAAACTTAGATTTACTGGCTGATTGTGTGGCTGGTGTGTCCAGGAAAACATCTATATCCAAGAGGACTGACACAATTAACAACAGTGGGCGCCACCAGTCATTTGTGGTGCAGAGTTTCAATGCATTTTCAGAAAAGATAAGCTATTTTTTCTATATTACTTCTGGTCCACGTTCATCGCTCCATTTGCATCCAAAGTAAAAAGGGCAGGAACACTGACATCAATACCTACTTGTGCTTCCTAAACATAACTATCTCAGGATAGAACTTTCTTATGTAAACAGAACAATGCCCAAAATAAAAATGTGAGGGAGCTTCTGGTGATGGGATCCATCATCACAGTCTGTCACTTCCATAATCAAACCAATTACTGTTAATTGCTTCTAGAGCCTTAATGACAAAAAATCATGAGCCAAAGGGGCTAAAATGATGACATGGAGTTAAGAGAGTGAAACCAAAATTAAATAGAATACCAGGCATCATTCTGTCTCACATTGTGAGGGTCTAATTCCAAATTACTAAAGGCTAAAATCCTACAATATCTATCCTCAACAAAAAAAAAAGGAGAAAACAGTGGTGGGTACATGGCTCAAGTTCTAGAACAGTTGTCAAGTAAGCCAAGGCCCTGATTCAATCCCCCTGCCAAAAAGTCTAAAAAGAGAAGTATCACTATACATTCATAAATATGTATATGTATTTTTAATTTGTTTACAAGTATTTAATTATATTACAATGTCTTAAAATTTGACAGAACTGTGGGCTAATATGTGGAACAAAAAGTTTCCTTCACGGCCCAAGAAAATATTTTAGAGCAGTTCCATGTGTTTAGGAAAGTGTGTGAGAGGCAGTATGTGCAGGTTAAAAAGTGAAATTATGGGTTAGCTCAGAAAATTCAGAATTTCTGTGTCGCACAGATTGTCACTGTTTGAAGAAGAATACTCATTCAAAAAATGCAACCTTTTTCTAGACCTTTTGTGAGTTTTCAGAAAAATTGGTTTTTCCAGTTTTTACGAGTATCTGCAGCAAGAAATTTCCTTGCATATGAAAAGATATTCATTTCTGACTAACAGTTTTTTAATGTTTGACTGTATACAGGACAAATCAGACTTTGTGAATAAGAGTGCCTTGTTAAAGACTTAAAACAAGAATGAATCTGGCTGGAAATTTTAAAAATTCGATTAGCAGTTTATTAGTGGCAAAATTTATAAGTAACTATCTGGAATATCTTTCAGTCAAATATCCTACAAAGAATTAACAGCATTATGGGAGAACTTTTTCTTTTATTTTTCTTTCTTTTTTTGTCACACTCTTAAAAATGAAAGTCAAGTTTCTTAGCTTAATGTGAGATTTTATCTCATTTAGGTACAAAGTCTCTCTTAGAAAGTTAGTATGACATTGCTGAGTCCACTTCTGCCCAGTGGTGTCAGATAACTATATATCAAATATAAATACTGCTGAGCTAGGAGGGAATATTCAAAAGGAATCTGTGAAGAAAAAATATATATGCCTAATAATTTCTTTTAAGAGTTTAGACCCTAGCAAATAAATTTCACTCTTAGAACTGAAAGAACCATGTTAAGGAGATTTATAGAACTAAGTTTCTTACTAAGGTAGAAGAAGTTGCCAGGAAGGGAGTGTTCGTTCAAGTTGTTGTAAGTCAAGTCCAAGACCTCCAGAGCGGGGAGTGAGCCAAATCCCCGAGGCAGGGTGCTCAGGCGGTTCATGCTGGTGGGTGGAGGAGGAGAGGAATACAAGTTATCACACAAAACCTGCATTTACACAGAACACTGAGTCATTACACTAAATACCCTGTTTGACAGGGCTGTGACTCTACATCCATTTTCTTAGATTTTTTAAATTTTATTTCCTCCACAAGCAAAAATTATACATAAAGGTGTACAGCATGTTTTCACAGACATATACACACCGTAGAAAGCCAAATCAAGCTCTCCAACATGTATTATCTCACTTATTTTTTATAGTGAGAATACTAAAAAACTACTCTCTCAGCAATTTTCAAATACACCACATATTGGTATTAACTGTACTCAACATGGTGTACTACAGACCTCTTGAAGTTGCTCCTGTCTAACTGAAATCTTGTGTTCCTTGACTGACATCTCCCCAGGACCCTACCATCTCGCCTTGGGTAGCCGCCCTTTTACTCTACTTCTATGAGTTCCTCATTTTACACCCCACATTTAAGTGAGATCATACAACATTTCTCTTACTCAGTCCAATAATTTTAGTCAGAGTCTACGTTTGTGAAACTTTTAAAAAATGTTTAGTTGTCATGTTTTCCAACGGTGACATTCAATTACTGTTTTAAGTTTAAACTATGACCAAGCATCTATCTGACTAGACCAAACTTTCTTATGAATGTAGAGGTAATACTTCAATAGCTGTGTGCCAAGCATCGTAATTCTTGGACTTTATGCCTTATTTCATTTATTCCCTTTAACTTTCTGTTCTGCAACTGCTAATATTCAAAATTATCGTGGTTGCTGGGAGCTGGTGGGAGTGAGGAATCAGGAGTCATTTACAGGGTATGGAGGTTCAGGTTTGCATGATGAGAAACTTCTGTAGATTTTTTACACAATAATGTGAAAATACCTACCACAACTGAATTGTATATTATAAAATGGTTAAGATGGCAAATTCCATCATACACACACACCCCTCTCCAATGAAACCTACAAGAAATTTTGTTTTTATTACTTTCTTTTATCTTTTCTTCAAGACCCTTATTTTTCTTTATGCAGTTCCCTTACAGCATTCTTAAAAAACAATTCAAGAAAAAGTTGCCAGGCTCACACCTGTAATCTCAGCTACTCGAGAGGCAGAGATCAGGAGGATTACAGTTCAAAGCCAGCCCTGGCAAACTAGTTTGTGAGACCCTAGCTCAAAAAAAAAGAAAAAAAAAATCACAAAAAAGGGCTGGCAGAGTGGCTCAAGCAGTAAGAATGCCTGCCTAGCAAGTGTGAGGACCTGAGTTCAAACCCTAATACTACCAAAAAAAAAAAAGTTATATAAGTTAACAGATATTGAAAGGTGGAATTGTATCAAAATAGATACAATTCTGACTATCTTTACTGATCAGACCTCACGAGAAATGACTTCTAGTAGAAAGGAAATGAAAAGAGAAAAGTGTACTTCTCTCAGCCTCCCTGAGTACCGATAATGACTAGTACTCCTGTGAATTTACAATTGGTGAAGCATGGTTATGTCAAGTACTTCACGTGGCTCACTAATTACCAAGTGTTCATGAGATGAACGCTAGCAACGAGCTAGGCTGAAAGTCCAGAGTGGCTCAGTATTTAGTGATGTTATCCCAGAAATTATGACTGAACCAACCTGGAACCTATGTGGCTTGACATGTCTCAGAAAATAGCTCTATACGATGAACCATGTCTGGAGATTCCAAGATGGCAGCTAGAGGGAGGAAGCAGAAAGCGTGCCTCCTAAAGTAAAATCTTGGAAAGACGCTGGAGACACACCTTGCAGGAAAAACCACCGAGAAGAGGGAAAACTCTGACTCCTCCACACCTCCAGGCCACGCATAGCATCTCCACTTCACGTTAAATGGAGAAACCAGGAGGGCTCCCGTGCCGCCGCCAGAAGCCAGCACCCAGACCACTTGGGAAGACGTGGACCACAAGGTGAGCTAAGTGGGACACAGTACTCCCACAGACAACCCTGGGCCAGATCAGCACAGCCCCCTGGACAGACCAACCCCCACACAGGGGGAAAAAAGGAAAAAAAACTTAATAAGCAATAACAACAAAAAAGACATGTAGCAAAGAGGGTGAGGTGCCCTGAGCAGTGAAGAAAGGGGGAGAGGAAATCCCTCACGGAACTGTAAATAAACAAGCCAGCTGCAGAAGGCAGGAGCAGCGGCATCACCCAGTAACCAGGAGCAGGAAAACTTGTAAAAGTGGGGTTGGGAGGAAAACTCCACAGGAGAGGGGGGAAGGCCCACTTCCCACATGAACTGTAAATAAACACGCAGGCCTGACAACACGGGGGCAGTGTCACCTTTCCCAGTGCTTGGAAAGGGGAAAGGCTGTAGCAGAGGCTCATGCACAGGAGAACTCTGAGTAAACAAAGCCTGCAGGGCCAGGTGAGTGCTAAGCTCACTCCTGAGATCTGCATAAATAAAGCCTCCAGCAACAGCAGGCTGACAGCAGCGGGCAGTAAGCCACAGCCTACAGATACCATTCACAGAACTGTCTCCAGGCTCTTTGCTTTTTTTCTCCCTACCTTTGATGAGACAACAACCGAACTACACCTGCAAGCTGAAAAACTTACTGAAACTGCATTGCATTTGAACTTGGGACACTTTGTGGGGTTTTTTTTTTGTTGTTTTGGTTTGGTTTGATTTATTTCCCCTTTGATGAGACAACAGTACTACTTCTGAGACACCATCTCCAGGATTGCAGGCTGAGGGACTGACACCAAAATTATTAAGACTGAAACTTTATTGTATTTGACTTGGAGATTTTTTTATTTTTTACTTTTATTTTTTAATTTATTTTTATTTTATTTTTTTCTCAATCCTCTGTCTCTCTAATGCCTGTTCACCTTACTGTTCATTAGTACACTATCTCTCCCTGTTTATATCTTTGAAACTTTTTCTTTCTTTGTTTTGTTTTGTTTTTGTTAATTCACTTGTTTTCCCTCTTTCATTAACTTCTTTCCTTTCCCTCTCCTCTCACCCTTCCATTCTAAATACCACCATTATTATTATCACAAGCTAGAAAATACTTAATTGCACACAGTACAGGGACAATAACAACACCAAGGGCAATTACAGGAAGACAGAAAAAACAGGGAAACCAGTTTCCCCACAGCAAAAAATTAGTACAGGGACCAGAGGGAAATGAAGAAAACAGATACTCAGATCCAGACTCCATCAAAAGGAAGATAAACTATGCCAAAGGACCCAATGAAGCCCACAAGAAAAATCTAAAAGAAGAAATACTACAGGTACTCAATGAGAATTTTATATAGATGATACTGGATATGGTCAACCAAAATGTACAGGAGACACTCAAGAAATTCCAAGACAACAAAAATACAGAATTTGAAAAAGCACAAAAAAAAATAAAAGAAACCATAGAATCACTATATAAACACCAAAGTGAAACAGAGAAAACAATTAATAAAGAGATAAATGAACTCAGGACAAAAATAGACAACATTAAAGAGGAAACAACCCAGGATATGGAAAATCTCAGAAAAAAAACAACAAAACAGAATTGCAAAGCAAAACGGAAGGCCAATCCAGCAGAATAGAACAAACAGAAGACAGAGTCTCAGAACTTGAAGATGAAATGGTAATTAAAGGAAAAACCAAAGAACTATTAATTAAACAACTCAAGACCTGTGAAAAGAAAATGCAAGAACTCACCAACTCCATCAAAAGACCAAATTCGAGAATCATGGGCATCAAAGAAGGAGAAGAGGTGCAAGCAAAGGGAATGTGTAATATATTCAGCAAAATAATAACAGAAAATTTCCCAAATCTAGAGAAAGATATTCCCATACAGATGCAAGAGGCCTCTAGAACACCAACAGACCAGACCAAAATAGAACTACCCCACGACGTATCATCATTAAAACAACAAGTTCAGAAACTAGGGAAAGAATATTGAAAGCTGTAAGAGAGAAAAAACAAATAACATACAAAGATAAACCCATCAAAATCACAGGAGACTTCTCAACAGAAACATTAAAAGCAAGAAGAACGTGGGAGAGATCTTCTGGGCACTGAATGAAAATAACTTCAACCCCAGGATACTCTACCCAGCAAAACTATCATTCAAAATAGATGGAGCAATAAAAGTCTTCCATGATAAGCAGAAACTAAAACAATATGTGACCACAAAGCCATCACTACAAAAGATTCTTCAAGGGATTCTGCACACAGAAAGTGAAACCCAACATAACCATGAAAGGGCAGGCAGCACCAAACTACAGGAAAAGAAAAAGCAAGAAAGTAGAGAGTAACCTCAACTTAGGTACACACAATCAAACCTTCAAACAACTAAGACAACTAAATGACTGGAATCATCACATACCTGTAAGAACTAACACTTAATGTTAACGGACTTAATTCACCCATCAAAAGGCACCCCTTGACGAAATGGATTAAAAAGGAAGATCCAACAATTTGCTGCTTACAGGACACCCACCTCACTGACAGAAATAAGCATAGGCTTGGGATGAAAGGCTGGAACAAGATTTACCAAGCCACTGGCCCCTGAAAACAGGCAGGAGTAGCAATACTTATCTCTGACAAAGTAGACTTCAAACCTACATTGATCAAATGAGATAAAGAAGGACATTCCATACTATTAAAAGGGGAAATAGACCAAAAGGAAATAATAATTATCAACCTGTATGCGCCCAATGTCAACGCACCCAATTTCATCAAACATACCCTGAAACACCTAAAAGCATATATTAACTCCAACACAGTGGTTGTAGGAGACTTTAACACCCCACTATCATCAATAGATAGGTCATCCAAACAAAAAAATCAATAAAGAAATCCTAGAACTAAAATATACCATAAATCAAATGGACCCAGTTGATGTCTACAGAACATTTCATCCAACTTCTATACAATATACATTCTTCTCAGCAGCCCATGGAACCTTCTCCAAAATAGATCGTATCCTAGGGCACAAAGCAAGCCTCAGCAAATATAAGAAAATAGAAAT